GTTCCCCGTCTGTCTTATAACCTGACCAATTTTGTGACCTGTTCACTTGGCCTGATGAAGCTTTTTTGCCAAAAGCGAAACGTTACCCAAATATAAACTACCGACTGTTTACCAAGCTCTTCTGAAATGAGGGTTTTCGTCTTCTTTTCTAATTTGATAGTCCGAAACACTTAGACAACTTGCTCAGAGATTCTCGAATGTCATCGACCTTGTTTTTAGAAAAATTACCCAAACTAATCGGAGGAAAATATTCTTACGTACTGGATGACATTAGTTACCACTAAAATGCTGCGATTCCGGTCGATCTTGTCTAATTTACCTGATGGATGTGGATTCGTTCAGTGACCTAAGTGACGCACTATTTGACTCCACAACACGAGATACCGATGTTCCCACGGGGCCAAACAACTGTCTACCGAAGAAACTAACTACCACACTTTCAGCCTGAGCCGGCCAGTCTCTCCAGCAACGCTTCACTTCAATAAACAGCGCCTCCTTGTGCTTCATTCCTGCAAGCGAACGCATTCATGGAAATTCTGAGCCCCCGAGGACTGCATCCTCGCTGCTCCAGTTCAGAGCGCACCACAACCGGACACGCCACTCATCAAATGATGAATTCCCGGTACCAGTTACCCCACCAACAGAACATGAGCGGACGAATAGGGTTCAGTCACCTGAAAATCGAGGCCCCGTATACTTCCACCAGATATTGTAGGTCATGCCCAATAGAATGTTACCACAGTGCAGCTAAGGACTGAGCGCGTCTATCGCAATCGGTTCGATGACAGGGCATTAACGGTCGAAACAGATCAATTTTAGCTTCCGCAAAAAACGTGTACGCTTCTCAACCAGGCTTTCGGTTGTCAAGTTTAAATGAAACACCCACCACAGGTGAAACTGGTGCTCAACTGACCGCGATTCTGGGACAAATGGTTTGAGATCTGACCAACTGAATACCAAGTCTGCCCAGTTATTGGGTGTATAACTCATCTCTAAGCTATTCATAACTCTTGCTGCTGACCAACAGCTCCCAGTACTTCGTTATTCGGAATGTTTTGTAAGTGACGTATGCAGTGCAATATCGGAATTATTGATTACTGTGCTGGACATTCCAAGGGGATATTGCTAAGAAACTAACTCCGCACTCACATCCCTCTCCACGGTCAATGAGATATGACTATAGGAGTAGACTTATGAAAATAACATGGGAAGAACAGCTCGGACGTATTCTACTGAGAATCCCGAATGTCAGAGTAAGCTCCCCAAACTAGCTCATTTCATTGTGATGTGCAGTATGGCTTGCCTAGGAAGTTCAGACTCTTTAGGGCACTCCTGTCCTGGCGAACGGTTACACACGGTAGGTCTACCCAGCTTATCAAAATTACTGCCAGACTGCACGTATACAACGCACCCACAAACACAGCTGCCACACCGAAAAAACTTTCAGCCGCGAAATGCTTTTGGGGCATAGCTGCTATGCAACCTGAAAGGAGCGCGATGACCGAGTTATCTTCAATTTGCAAAGTGGGAGAACTAAGGGCTCATATCCATGATCTAAAACGAGTTCAACTAACGCTGATGTATATGCCTAATCCCAGTTCACCAAACGATCAGCGTAACAAGTGGATAAAGTAAATCAGCACACATTTAAGAAAGACAACAAATGCATTTCGATCAATGATACACAGAGAGGACAACAAGGGAAACAAAAGTGTTAAAAATTCTCTCATTGATAACCGACACCTGGTATACAAAAATAATAACGTCCAAACCATTTGAAAACGTATAAAATGCACTGTAAGGTCCTTCAATAGCGAAAATAGGCGTGCGCATCAGTCTCCAATGATACACAGGGAGGACAACAAGGGAAACAAAGGTGTTAAAAATTCTCTCATCGATAACCGACACCTAGTATACAAAAATAATAACGTCCAACCCATCTAAAAACGTGTAAAATGCACCGTAAGGTCCTTCAACAGCGAAAATAGGCGTGCGCATCAGTCGGGAAATGAAAGAATCAAATGCGAGATACGCTGGATAAATTTACGTGGGTAAAGAGGCTATGTCCGAGTTCTGTTGGACTTTAGAGATGCGCATCGTCTTGAATAAACTACCCAATTCCGTCATCGCATCCGCGTGAGTCTTGATCTCCGGCTTCTGCCGAACATGTCGGTAGTTCTCACGTACGAAATCCGCGAAGGCCGGTCGACGCTTTTCACTTAACTCGGACGATTGGGTCTGTTGCACTTGAGGGCGGACAGTGCAGTGGGCGAGAAGACGCTTGTCCATCGTACCCGCGACACTTGGACGCATCATTCGACCGCGAGGTGTATTGATGAGGAGTTCGAAACGTGATCGACAACGCCCACATATCTGAGAAAGACAGAAAAACACAAACTAGAATGAGTAGGCAGTAAAAATTCAACCGAATTCAGCAACAAATACGACAAATCTATCATAGTTGTGTTATGCAAAAGAAATCAAACGAGACAGGGTTAACTTCAAGTTAGTGCTACGTTGTATCAAACAGTTAACAAGAAAGTCCACAACAGTACGACGTCCCAGATGTTCAGAGGCTGGGAAAATGCGAAACCGAACAAGCCTGAAGGTGATGAATAAACTCAAAAACGTACTTGTTTTTCCGTATCGATTGATTTGGAGTGACGATTAATGCATGCACCACAGCCTGTGCATCGATAGGTGAACTTAGTCTCAATTGTGTACGCATGACACACAGAAACTACGGGGATATCAGGCCATACTTGCATCGCGCGATTGGCCCAGCGACGCCAACGTGAGCCGTGACCATCGTTCACGCCATCGAGTATCCAGACTGCGGCGTGACAGACCTCATGAAGTAGTGTGTCACGGACACGTTCCGCGGATGTGCACACTTTTGGGGACAGCTCTATCTGAGCTATTCGGGTCTAAAGAGAGGTAACAGGTGAGATAAACTGATTTGATGAAGGGAACTAAGCAGGTGAATGCGAGTATCCGTAAAAAAGAGCTGTCCGGGTCAACTTACAATAGTTTTTTCACCAACCCGCGGGATGACCTCACGTCGCAGATATTTGCACTGACCAGCAGTGCGCAGCAATCGGGTGTTCCAAACAATTGACAGGTCATCAGGTAGCTGCAGGAATAAAATCGCACACAGTAAAAATATACCAGACGGTGAAGACATTTCGTTGAGCATATCCTATGGCCGGTATCCTGGAGTGACGTAACAGAATACAAAACGTTCAGTGATTGCCACGAACGACACACACCGCACGAAACAAACGAAGTGCCAAGTTCTGTAACTTGCAATCACAGCTCGAAGTATTAGTTACAATTTTCGTCGTTTCAACGGGATAAACGGTGGGTCTACTTGGCATGAAACTTGAACTTTGTCTCGCGAACCCAGTTTAAAACGTATGACAAAAAGAACTCTTTTGTTGCACACACTATCACTGACGAACGTCACGCCCGCACACATACACAGTAAAGTATGTAGTATTCTCTTCGGGAAATCAGTTCACATACACAGGGGGAACCCTTGAGCTTCTATTTGATATTCTTTGAAGTTCCGATGACACACTCGTGCAGACGAGTAAAAGTACGAGAGTGAGAAGAAATCCTGCAGCTACGAGTAAATTAGTCCAATCTTGTTTAAAATCCTATTTGGATAGATGGTGTAGTTGTGATATTTTTATTAGTAGTATAAAGATTTTTTGATAAAAACAATTGTAAAAGGAACCAACTACAGCAAACCCGATACACGCTTCACAAACTATCAGCCTCGTCCCCCACCACGCCCAAAAAGAGGTTCGTACACCCCAGGTTTAGAACTGTTGTTGGCTCAGCAACGAGGCCGGTGAGGTTTCATATGAAGCGTGCATTGAAACCAAATCAGCACCAAAGTCAACCTAATGTACATACGCTAGCGCTATCCAACGACCTGATAATTCATCTTGAGAATTCGTGGTTTCACACTCAACACAATCAGTAAGAATCACACAGTGCTATCACGATGTCCACAGTCCCCGTTTTTGATACTAATAGCATCATGAGTAGTTTTTTGCAGCAGTAGCTATTTCGCTATATTCTGTCGTGTAATGGTGAGTTGCATCTGATCACGTTAAAAACTTAATTTTTCCCAGTTGTGCAGGCGAAATTATTGTGCTAGCTCTCCTTAGTAGTCCAATGTCGGGGTCCAGCACTGGCTCGACACCTATTTTACAGCCAGGAGAAATGAATCATTCGCTGTCGTTGGGGAAGTACCTCTGCTCAAGCCTACAGAGGCCTCGTGCGGTTCGTATTTGTAGCCCCCTGGTTGCCGATATATTTCGGTTGTTTTTTAATCAATTTCTGTCAGGTTATCTATCTATAAAAATAATAATCTTTTAGCTGTGATACCCCTTCGGTACCTGGTCGCCATGCCACCTGAGGGCCAAGATCCTGCCAAGTTGCCCAAGCCTGGACAGGGGAAGCAAAGATGGATTGGATTCGAACCACAGGCCTTCTGGTTATGGCTTAACCAGTGAGTTATCTCAAGCTCATTGATCTATCTATTTGCAAGATACGCATATGTGGATTATAGGTGGATTATATCAAAACATGAAATACATACATTCCCCTGACATTTCGTTACTACGAAATCTTCATAAGATTGAATCATGCCAGGATGGCTCAGATCAGCGATATATGCAAGCCAACACTTACCCTCCGTAGAGCAGGCCAATCGAATTTGTCACGAATATGCGCTGCTGTCACGGCGTAATATCCCTCTGACGGAACAGAACAAGCTGTTCTAGGACACCTTGGCTCACGTTTTACATCGGGCATCCCTTCAGAAAACCTAATGTCATCAGGCTGCAAGTCTATTTTGTATCAGGAGTACGGGTGATAAGTGGCCCTCACACATCATGAACTCTGACCAGTGTCTCGGCATGCGAGCTGGCTAAGGTGCTATGTACAGCTCTGTTACCGTTTCAGAAGAGCTTGGTAAACTGCTGTGTTACCGGTTTAAACTCGGACAGTAATACGATTTATGTGATTCCGCCACTGTCACTTAGGTGCCCAAATCGGCAATATGCGCGTGGAGTTGTGCGGACTATACAAGCACTCAAATGCAGTGAATCGAGTCGAAATCATCTTGGGTATTGGTAAGGTACGGGCAGATGGATTAGGTCAAAACCGAGTTTATGCATAGAGCCGGTTCTGACAAACTCTCTACACAGCACAAGTGGCGCATCTATATTCCGGTGCATTTTATACAGAAAGTGCGAGTCCATAAGCTAGTCCTCACCAGCGAAAGGCCTACACGTCGTTCGACTGCACGAAAAGATTGCACAAAGCTCTCCGACAACACGAACATGCACAAAGTGGTGTTGTGAATAAGCAATCGAGAGCAAATGACTACTTTTCGGCTTTACGATGAGCGCACTGTAGTCTGACCCAAAGGATAGAAGCTTTCTTCTTGTTCTCCTTCTTCACTTCTGCATGAGTTAGAAACTTGGTAGAGCCTCCAATTTCGCGATGGAGGCCTTAGTAAATCCAATCATTGTAAAGGAATACAATTTGACCGGTAAGAACGTACAGTCGTTTTTTTATGCATCAGCAACACTGGTGTTTCTACTTTCAAGCAAGTATCCAATCCATTCCACACCATGGGAATGAGGACCAAGCAGTGGACAACTAGCGGTTGGTTCTCCCATAGTTTGTAGATATCCTTCGTGCTGTCTCTGTTATTACTGCAGTTGAATTTAAAATGGTCTAGAGGGCTAAAGTAACCAATAGGTTCAGATGTGGTCACAGCATCTGTGCTAGTAATTCGAGGTTAGAAAGCGTATCAGTCGTGCACTGCAGAATCTCTGATCAAACGTCTTGACAAATACCTATTTTCACGAAAGGTCATGACTGTCAACTTTCTTCTGAGACGTCGATAAAGAAACGTTCAGCTGTAGCACCCTTTCGATGCCTAACTGCTATGTCAACAGAAGGGAACACGAGGGTTGGAATACTATCAGGTTGCCCAAGACTATACAGGGTTGAGAGAGAGAGAGAGGGAGGTCGGGTTCGAACTACGGACCAGAAAATGTGCCCTCTAACCAATGAGCCATCGATAAGCCAATATCTGAGCAACAAGACCGTTCGGCTTCGAAAGACACTGCCTGAAAGGCGCCTTATCCGTCGCACTGCAAAGAATCGAAAACGGGTAGTGGTTTATGCTAAATCTGGAACATTCTTTCTTCCTTGAAGGTATCCTGTAGTCTTAGTTGTCGATAAATTGCTATCCAAAAGCATCCAGTCGTACAGTATTCCCTCATGATGAGGCATATAAGGAAAACAGGACACTGCTTAGACGTAATACACTACTAATAGAGTTACTGTCGAAGAGTTTTCAGCAGTCTTATGAGTAGTCTATAACGCCTATGCCATGTACAGCGATTTCTCAAATATCGTGCCAACTGAAACATGAGACTGCCTGGTGCAGCATATTCAGTTGCTTAAAAACATCATGAACGAGAGATTCAGCTGAGTTTCAGACGATTTTCCCGTCAAAACCAAATTGGTATGCAAATTAATGTATTAAACAGAACACACTTCACAAGCCTCAGTCTAAAAAACATGCACAATGGGCCCCAGTGAGGCCAGTCGGGGCGGAGAAGCCGAAAGGACTGTACAGCTGTTTCATCCCTATTGGGAACCGTCAGCAGTGCGCATCTCACGAAATTGCGAATCCGCAACCTTCCGGTCCCTGGTTGAAAACCTGACCGTCTGGCCTCGAACGGTTGAACAGGAGTGTGATCAGCTCTCACTCACACACGCTTTAATCACAGAAACCACATCACGTGGCCACGTAATGACAGAAAGGAAATCTCATCTGAAAATTACAAGATCTCCCACACTACGATCAACTATGATTTGTGTTTGTGCAATGCGAATTCCTCGTATCCTAATTTCGTTGGCTGGACAATGCAAGATGGATATGCTGTGGGTTGTCGTAATTTTTTGGACCAAGCGTACACGACACAAGACTAGTATGAATGATAGCTTCACCTCTCGTGCCTAAGAGACCGTGTTTTTTTAATCTCACGAGGATTAGACCAATCGAAAGGCTGTGTATATATGAGGTACGACCGGTACCAGATACGTGCATAGAACAAAATAAGAAAAACGTCAGTAAACAGTGTAATAAAAGCTCAAATGCCCAGAGGAAGATGAGTGCTTCGAAGACCTGAAGAAAATATGGGCAATACCGTATTAGTCAAGGTGTTTCGAGCAACAGTGACCGAGTACCCCTTGGAGGCATCTGTTTGCTACATATGTAAAACTAGTTGTTGGACTTGCCTGACCCGAGCTTCGTTTATGGACCAACGTCCAGGTAACCAATGCATTGACGTCAGCATTTTACCGAATGGTACTTCACCTAAAGAATATTCTATCTTATGGGGGGAGTCGTAAAAAGTCAAACAATGGTTAAACACGCAACGTGTACGCAGTGAACATACCCGTTTGTCAAACACCTTTTCGTTGAAAATACGGAATAGCCTGTTCGCCAATTCAACACGATTGGCCTTGAACCGTTTAACGAAACTGAAAGGGAATGGATGGGGAATGGCAAAAATATAGAAACGAGTTAAGTCATCAGTGCCAGCAATTAAGAAATGGGTCACGAGTTTAAAATGATTAACCGAATTCCTCCGAGCTAGAAACAAAGTTAAAAAAAATTCCTTGAATAAGTGCATATCAAAGAAGTTGCTCCCACCCGAATTAGTCGAATATGAATTATCATAACCATGCTCTAGGTACCATATAGGTCAACCATTATAGGTTAGAAACGTGGAAAGTTGGGTTGAAAACATCTACCAGGAAATCGATTTCTACTAAGTATGAGATGCAGCTGTGTGTTTTCAAACTAACCTACGAGATGAGAAGCAATTGAGTGTTGCTATCAACCCACTTGTTGAGAAATAGACATCACTGATGCGTTATGTACTACTAACTAGTTATGAGAAAAGGCTAGCCTAGAGTGATGGAACAAGCGAAGAAATGCGCTATGATCGCCTAGTGTAAAATAGATACAGTTATGGAAAACCCTTTTTAGCCCCTGTAATTGTCGTCCATAGTGAAAGAACAGATGTTTTGGACATAGAAAATTCCATATCCGACTTCAAACAGTGAATCTTGAGAGTAGATATGCAGTCAACTTCCATAGGGTGTACACAGCACCCTGAAAGATTAGCTGGATATGTGCTTTGGGTTGATTGAGAGATATCTAAGTAACAGGTCTGTCCCATGTTCATTTGGCATATCTTGACCTCCATCTAGCACACCGCTCGCATTAGGCTACCCGCGGCTAGCTAAGCGGGGTGGGAGTTGTCAGGGTTTTCAAGCCTTCGACGACCGTCAACGACAGACAGACGCCGAAAATCAACTCTGGGTTCAGGAGTCATGGCAACACTTGTCCTAAACAATGCCCCATATAATTACCGCTGCTTCGTAGGTCGTAGTCGGTTGTGAATTCCCCAATGAATAACGACCTCTCTCTGATGTGACTAAACTCAAGATTTCCAGGTGTCTAATAATGGGACATTCACAGAGCTGGCTTAGTCCCATTCCGCAGGTAGATGAAACAAGCTAAAGAAAAAGCAAACGGTGAACAAACAAACACAAACTAGACAATGGGGAAATACTAATAGTTGCAGTTCAAGCGGCGTAGTTGAATCATCTGTGCCCTGTCGTTTTGCCTGCAGCAAGTAGTAGTTTTGGGACGGGGCGTCCGTTCGCTCAACAAAGCATAGCCTGCCACTGATGTTTCCTCTAAACTAATTCGATTGTTGTGCAAGTCAGTAACTTCTCCACACAAGTGAAAAACTGCGAGAGCCACACCCTCTGCGACGGTAAAAAGCTCAGTACAAGGGCCATCGGCAACAACAGGAACCGGGGATTATCAATGTCACAAAAGAATGAACTCAAGTTGATAAATGCTGTAAAAATGGGAACAAATAAACCAGTGGAATTCGTTAATTAAACAAGAGAAAGGAACACAATTCAGTTCTTAAGAAAGATGTGGTCGGACCGAAAAAATACACCAGGTATGGAGGTCATCGGGAGTACATCACGTCCATCCTACTAGGATTCAGCTGGATCTCGCACGAATGACTTCAGGTTCTCTGCTGGATCAGATCAACACATTGATCATTTGTCAGTAACTAAAATGCCCTTACTAGGCTGGTTGGATCAAGGCCCCCTGTTTTAGTCTCTCAACTAGTGGTGTTATTATGTCTTCCAGAGTGGATCACGATACGATAAGCTTGTTGAAACGGCACCGGGTTGGGCTTCCTTCTGGGCGGTTCCTTGTGAGGAGTTTCACTGGAAACATCGGTAACAACAGCATTTCAGCGACATAGACCTTTATTCCAAATCTACACAGATTCGCTGTGACAAGGTAAACGTGAATCGATTCATCGCCAGCTGATGACTGAATCGAGCCTAGCCGAATTCGACTGCTTATGTAACGGGCCAAGAAGTGGTGGGTATAAACTTTATCCAAACTGTCAACAACTGCTGACATTCTCCAAACAACTGTGGTGTTACGTCGAAAAAAATGACCTGATCTCAATCAGATCACCAAAATCCAAACACCCAGGGGAGAAACCAGCCGACGTAGCATTTTGATATATCTGTGATGGCCTTCGGAAAAGCTAAAATCCATTCGTTCGTTAAAGGACGCAACCGAATGAGTCATTTGAGTAGTTCTCCTATCCTGGTGCGATTACCCAGCTCAATCAAGACTAAAGAGGGTTCGACTCTCGGTCTTATTGAAGCTCTTCAGCAAAATATATCCTTCATTGTGCTGGGATCTGAATTCCGATGCGGGTACGTTCCAACTACCGGAGCGTCACACATTGGATGCACCTAAATTATCACGTTGTAGCTTTGGGTGAGGTTTAGCCCACGGTTCGAACAAAAGCCAATCGGTGACTTCAAGATCCCGGATTATAGCGGGTGCTTCATGTCGGCACAATCATTCAGCTGTAAAACCCTCCCGGTGCTTAGCTCCCATGTCACCCGGGGGAAGCATGCCACCCTGGGATACTGCCAGGTCGCCCAGGCCTAGACAGGGGAAGTCGAGTGGCAGAGGTAGGGTTCGAAACACGGACCTTCCGGTCAGTAAATTCGCGCTCTAACCACTTGGGCCATCTCGCCCTATATCGGCCCAAAAACTTCGATCATTTATTTTCAGTTGTGGCGTTTGCTGAAAGTATATCCAAGGAGCTCTTATTTTGGACTTTCCTCTTACGATTCTAGCGATCGGAAGGTAGGAGCTGCTGATAAACTCGAATTAAAGGGAAAAAAGTAAAAAATCAAAGCAAACTGGAACATTAAAACTCGACTCTCGGTCTTATTGAAGCTCTTCAGAAAAATATATCCTTCATTGTGCTGGGATCTGAATTCCGATGCGGGTACGTTCCAACTACCGGAGCGTCACACAATGGATGCGCCTAAATTATCACGTTGTAGCTTTGGTTACTCATGAGTAGCAAAATGACTCAAAATAATCGAGGACAACTGTCTATGAAGAGTCGAAGTACCGAAATAGCGGCACGTCTGATGACCGTCTGTGATGTCATCAGTGAACAAAACTGCATAAACAACAAAATGATTACATAAACATTGACTGGAGAGGGGGCATTTATTCAATGTCATTCACACCAAACGGTAAACTGGTGCGCTTTTTAGTACTTAATCTGTCAAACTGCCTCTGTCAAATAAGGTATTCACAGGATTCCCTCAATTAAAAGGCTTCCTTATCACCCACTGCACGGAACTATTTGGGGCGTTTGTCCACGGAATGTGCCACAAGATGGCCGCCCTTCTGTGTTCGAAACCTGAGGGCCCACAGACTTGACCTTCGCATCCTTACATCCTCGTAATCCAGTTCCCCACGTTACTATCATAATCGTCAATCCAATAAGAGCGTTTGGCTAGAAATTTCCCATAATATCTGCTTAGTATTTCTATGGGGAACCGAATGAGTGAATGAGATGACGGCTTAAATAAACTAGACTGAAATCAAAGCAACTTTACCGTTCAGCGCTTGGATGACGTCTGCGACCTGTCCTGCGAGTATCGCCCTCCTCCAACGGATAAAGGGATGAAACAAAGTCAGCCCAAACAGGCAGACTTGTGCTTGAAAGGGATCGGCTGACGCAGGTTTTGGAAGTTGGGGACCGTAGCTGCGACCGACTCTCTCTTGGCCGTTCTAACCGTCTCGAAAGATTGCCTATGGTAGCTGGTGGCCTCCGAAAGAGCTCAGTTGCAGCACTCGAGTTCTGGTGTACGCCGTCCGTCGGTTTGTCCCCAAAAGATGGAGATATTTGTTTGTGAAGTGGCAACCGACTGTACAGTGGGTATGGAAATGTCGGAGTGGTAGATAAGTTGAAATAAAACCTGAAAAAATCTGGATAAGTGATATCATGTTCAAAGCGAGTTCGTTAGTCATAAGAACACGACAGACTTGCCCAGTGATATCAGGACGTGGAAATATTTTATTCCGGAAAATAATATATCGAGCACTGTTGAGAGAAAGGAAGATACGAAACCAGTATTTTAAGCAGAATATGTGGACAATGCGGTAAATGTGGGGTGATTACGGAATCTTTCAGAACAGCGGTTTTCAACAGTTGCGATACTGTATCCTGGTTGTGAGTCTAGCTTTAGGGACAGTAACATCCAAATGGACAGTAGGGACTATAGCACTCAAGCTGAGAGTTAAGCTTCTGAACCCTACATAAGATGCCTCCTGGTGTAGGATAAATTAGAATGTATCGCGAAAAATGCGAACTTTTGACCTTGCTATGAGCAGGATTGCTGGATCACCATAGTAATTAGGACCCACTATGTTCACAAATACCAAACACATTTTGGATCCACGACCGCTTGGTGGAGGAAGGTGAGCAAACTGAGTCTACCTACAAAAAAGTACGGTGAGTAAAAAAGAGCTGAAGACTCTTGTCCTGGAAGATAATTCGGAATCTGGTTTGCAGGGTGAACAAGTTGACAGGAGGGCTCATTCAGTATGAAAAAAACTTGGCAAACTAAAACTAGAAAATGAAAAAATTTATCCAAAAGCCACCGAAACTTAAAGTAAAATGAGACCGAAGTAATCAGACGACCTTTGCGTAACTAATATTACTAGAAGGTAAAAGCTTCTTGAAGTAACACCCTAGATTTGCTTACATAAACGGTTAGTAAAACTTCGACTCACTGAATTACCAGCGAGTAATTTGACGCTGCAAACTGTCAGCTTAAAAGAAAGGGAAGATTAATTATAGCTTGACCAGTTGGTTGAGGGAGAGACCTCAGAAGGAGGTACTCAGTATCGTAACCATAACCATTCGGAGTGGATCGCAGTGTGATGTAACCTGGCTAACAAGACCTTTGAAATTCTTCTAAAGGGGTCATTTAGGTAGCGTGTGCCAATGAATTACAGTTCGCTGAATTCTCATGAGGCCCCTTCGACTAAACTGAACAGCAGATACGGGTGAAAGGTGTTCAGACTTAACAGACGGCCCGTCGAATTTTTCGCGGATCCAGGGAACCACAGTTCGTCAGCATACAGGCAACGATTGTTGTGGAAGCATTCAGCTCTGAAAGCAATCTTGACTGCATTTATTTCTTACATCATCATGATGTATGTACCGTGTGTATCCGTTAATACAGCGAGTGTCTGATACTTCACTCACGCGGTCATGCATCGCTGGCAGAATGTGTTGTCCAAACTGTACTTCATCCCGGTTAGATCAGATATCACCAAAGTTCGACGAGGTGACCGATCACCTGCATATCAGTAAAATGACCGAGCAATCACAGTTTGGCCTCGCCAAAATCACAAAACAGCAAGCACCTGAGTATCAGTAAAATGACCAAGCAATCACAGCCAGTTTGACCCCGCCAAAATCACAAAACAGCAAGCACCTGACTTGCCCTAGGAAATCATAAGTCACCCACTCCGGACTTCCACGGCACCTCGAGAGCACCGATGCCCAAGGGCGGGCAGTCTCCGTTTCTTTTCAACAGGTTTCACAACTATAGAGTTGCATTGGAGGCGAAATTTCCTTACAAAAGTTTGAATACCAAGTTGAACGAGATGACATCCAAATTTAGCCCCTTCAAAGGTCTAATTTAAAACCAGTAGTCGTCTAGTGCATTGCAGTTACGTACTTCCAAGAGACCACCTGCCAAAGAACCGGCGTTGAGTAAGTCCTATTCAACACCTCAAGCAGGTTCAGCTGTAGCACCCTTTCCGTACCTAACTGCCATGCCACCAGAGGTAAGCATGAGGCCTGGGATACTGCCAGGCTACCCAAGCCTAGACAGGGGAAGTCGAAAGGCAGAGGTCGGGTTTGAACCACGGACCTTCGGATCAGTAATTTCACGCTCTGACCATTGAGCTATCTCACCTTTACCACATTCTTCTAGGGTTCCAAAGTATTCACCGATTTCCAACTGTCTGGATCACTCACGCCATACAGACCGAGGACGTTGTCGTTTTGAGCACTGGCATAAGTGAATTGCTACTGGTCACTGATTGCATCTGTCGGCTTCGTTAGGAATGCCTTGTTCATCGCAGAATCCATCATTCGCTGCGACGAATTTTCTCTTTCGGTCGCGGATTGGAAATAAACTGGACTAAAGTTCGGACGCTTCGAATTTGTTGCTAGACTTGTGGTAGCTGTCTGTTAGATACAACCGCGGTGGTTAATTTCTTTGCTGTTCAAACTTCATCACAATTTCCTCTGAATTTGTTGGACAAAGGCTTTTGGAGCGGATATCTAGAATTTATCGGTAACAGTGACTCTATCACGAATCAAGAGATCAACACAGATGAAACCGATAAGGACTAGCTAGACTAATCATATACAATGCACGCTAACAGAAAAAACTAACACATAGTTTGGGTGGCTGAACCCATAGATAGCAGCACAAACTCACCCTAAGTGGGAGAAACCTGCTGTAAGGACATAATTGTAGATAGGCACACACGATAAAAACCCAACCGCACACCATCATCTTAATGGGGCATACTTCGCGTTTTTCCACGTTCACACTTTTTCTCGGTAATGATCACCTTTTCTTTGTCAGTCATCTTCCGTTCTACATATGGTGGAATATGATCTTTTGCATACTAATCAAGGTCATGGTAAATGAATTACCTAATGGGTCATCAAACTCTCTGATCACCAGGAGCCTTCCGTTCGATGTGTAGTGGTTTTTCTGAGGCCTTACTTCAGAGTGAATGCAGCAGCTGTGGCTAAAACCCTTTCGTATTGAGACGTAATCAATAAATCATCATCATCAGCTGTATGAACCGCGTACTTGCCAAAGTGGTTCTGGCTGCCACAGTTTCGTTCACCGATGATTTGGGAAAGCATTGGAGACGAGAGCTGATGAATTGGTGCGTAAATGCAGGACTGGAAATCAAACTGGATATGACTCAATGTCGGGCTAAAATGTTGAAACGTGTGTACCTCCTCGGGCTTGATGTCCACGGTTAAAGATACCTTGGTACCGTTAATTCCATGTTTAAAATTTCATATGGCCCTCACATCTCCAAACGACCTTCATGTACACAAAGACTTGGTGAACTTACACTTCAGCGGCTTCACTGTTGAAAAGAGTGAACACGAAAACTACTACACTAGGTCAATTCGTCTTTAAGAGGGGGGTGGTGACAAGGCTAAGATATAAACATAAATTAAACGCCCGCTGAGGGTGCCCGAGTGTACCACTAGATGTAGCAACTTAAAAGACGAGCTTACTTTTCTGCTTCCACATCAGCTGACCGCGCAGCGTTGTCAAATTGACAATAGAAGAGTTGTTCATCAGAAACCTGCGACCCGGAACTGCTATTGTCGGTGAAAAACGAACTCGAAGAGCCGCTGGAATATTTGGGACTAGGGGGACGGCGCAGTTTTGCGAGAAACTTTTCAAACGCATCGTCATCTGAAGATTCATCAGGAGTCACTGATGATTTCGCAGCCGTTACCCAATTACTGTTAGCGGGTTCCAGTTGCAATTGAGCGAGTGGCGATCGCTCTGAACGCTTTGGAGTTTGATTGTCAGTAGTCAGTGAACTAGATTCAACGGTCAAATCGGATGTTAGTGAGCTCGGGGACCAAGATGTGATATCGCGGGAAGTAATTTTTTGGACTGAAGTGGGTGAGGGCAAGACCCGTTTGTAAGGTGTGGAAGAAAAATCTGAAGCCAAAAGATCGGGGGTATTTGACGCTTTTATCGCAGTCTCCACTGCAACTGATCCCTGCACATTCTTAGTTTTTTTGGCACTAGACTGCAACAAACGTCATAAAATGGAATAAGGCACTTACACATTGAATTATGCTCAACACATCCTTCAACCAAGATGTGATATCGCGGGAAGCAATTTTTTGGACTGAAGTGGGTGAGGGCAAGACCCGTTTGTAAGGTGTGGAAGAAAAATCTGAAGCCAAAAGATCGGGGGTATTTGACGCTTTTATCGCAGTCTCCACTGCACCTGATCCCTTCACATTCTTATTTTTTCTGGCACTAGACTGCAACAAACGTCATAAAATGGAATAAGGCACTTACACATTGAATTATGCTCAACACATCCTTCTTCGCGGATAATGATCGATAGAACTCCATCTGTGCTACCACCCATACCAAAACGCCTCGACCCCTACACGTAGGCGTTGCGCTGAAATGGATGAGAAGAGGGAATTCTAATGGTGACAACAACTCCACATGGTGACAACTCCATATTCTAAGGCTCAGGATACCAGCAACTAGCTAGAAATGATATCACGAGATCACGAGCGTGCTCTTCAGTCGTTGAGTGATTGAGGATACAAAATTTCGCTGAAAATAAGCAGCGTTCAGCAGAAACATCAATGACGCCTGCTACACAAATGACAGAAAGCCATTGTGAAAGGTCAAAAGAAGAGATAAGGTAGTCAGAAACAGGGGGTTTGTTATGACAATCCACCGAGGGATTGACATTTTCTTATAACTACCACACTTGTACCACACTTGTTTGCCACTATTGCTCATGTACATCATCATTATCATCGTCATCTTGAGACAGTGCTGACACCGATGCTTCACTGCCGTACAGACATAAGGTCTGTCTAATTATATTTAATGCCTCAGAAGGATAAGGGAAAAGTTGGTGAAGCAGGGGACCTAGTGCTGGGCATGTCAAGCATTCCGAAGTACCTACAACTCTAAGCTCTCCATCGGACAATCTGGAAAGAAAAGAGAAAGCGTTCAGCTGTAGCACCCTTCCGGTGCCTAGCTGCCATACCACCCGAAGGAAGCACGAGGGCTGGGATGCTGCCAGGTTGCCCAAGCCTAGACAGGGGAAGTCGAGTGGCGGAGGTCGGATTCGAACCGCGGACCTTCCGGTCAGTGGATTCGCGCTCTAACCACTTGGGCCATCTGGAAAGAAACTGAACAGCACAAAGCCACTGATATCGATCAGTCGCTATTTCTTGCAACACCTTCAGCCAAGTGCACGCGGGGTCACGCGGACCAAATCCTGCCAAGACGTACGCTATTCACCTCGCGCTTCGCGTCATTCCAAAGCAAACACGGAGAACAAAATTTGTCTCGGTAGACGAATTTTCGGCATGCGTAAAACACGGCCGAGCCATCGCAGTCGATGGTGCTGGATGTTTTCCGCGATTGAAATGACCGCTGCACAACTAAATACCCGTTTTGTAATTAATTCGTTACGGATTCATTGACACCATACGACACGCACAACACTTCTGACGCACCTGTGATCAAAAACCTGGAGAGGCCTTACATCATTTGTCCGCAGAGGCAACGTTTCACAGCCATACAACAACACACCCCTCAATGTAGCCTGGTACACGCGACTCCTAAAACTCAGTGATATACCGTTTTGATGTCATAAGTGACGCGAAGTAGCAAACGTGATTCGAGCCTTTGAGATTCCTGCACTGACTTCATCGAACACGTTTCCGTCAGAGCTAACACAACCAACGAGGTATGTAAAAATCCTCCACAACCTCCAGTGACTCTGTATGAATTGTAAGTATGTTCAGACGCTGTAGGCAGTGGATCACGGATTTGTAATCTGAAGGTGCGAGGTGCATGCCGAAAGATGGTCAGTGGTGAAAGCGCGAATTTACTGACCGGAAGGTCCATGGTTTTAACCTGACTTCCGCATCCCGACTTCTCCTGACTAGGCTTGGGCAACCTACTAGTATCCCAACTCTCGTGCTTCTTTCGAGTGACACGGCAGCTAGGCACCGAAGGGGTATTGCAACTGCAGTCACTGAACACGCCACTTACAATCCAGGCAGAGGTACTGGAAGTTGTGGAGCATTTTAGATATATTGGAAGTTGTATTAGTTCTGATTGTAGTGTGACAGATGAGGTGAATGCACGAATCTGCAAGGCCCAGGTCGCGATTGCTAATTTGAGGCACCTATGGCGTCAGAGTGGTGTATCCCTGAATCTAAAGGGACGTGTGTATAGAGCTACAGTGCGGGCTGTTTTGTTGTATGGCTGTGACACTTGGCCTGTTCGAGCAGTGGAACTGAGACGTCTTCAGGTGTCCAACAATCGTTGCCTCAGAACCATAGCTCGTGTGGGTTGGTGTCGGCGAATCCGTAACGAGGCAGTGAGGAAGCGCGTTTTCTGTTGTGCAACGGGTACTTTCATTGAAGAATGTGTCCAGCACCAGAAGCTGCGCTGGTCGAAACATGTGTTGTGTATGCCGAACCATCGTTTGCCGAAAAGAGTGCTGCCTTCCACGCCCAGTCCAGAGTGACGTAAGTAGAGAGGTGGCCAAACCTTGACTTTGCAGACGGGTATGATGGAGATCACGAAACGCTTGGGTGCTGTCGGTGCTACTCGCCTTCCAGGAACGCGTGACCCTCAATGCTGCAAACGATGTCAGTGGCGATCTTGTTGTCAGTTTCTATTCAGATTGCCAGAGTGAATGTCTAGAGGTGTATGCACCTCGGAATGATCGTGGTAAGCTTGCACTAAGCCCCTTCCCCGTCCACCTTTATTCTTTTCTTTACAATAAAGCTTTTAATTAAACTATGGCTGTAGGACGGTGAAGCATCGGTGTTGAACACTGATGCCATGCTGTCAATGATGATGATGATGATGACGTTCACCAACTGCCGGCGCATTCCTCGGTAGGCAAGCTGTCATGACTATATACACCATACCTTTGCATACATCGTTAACTAGTAATTCTCACTCTATATTTTCAGCTCATGTGCTACCACTGTTAGTCGGTTAGAGCGCACATTACGCCCTTCTATTGTCCTCCTTGTGATCTCATCCTGTAACTATTCGACTCTCGCAACACAAGCGTGTCGAGCAGAGCAAACAGGTCAATCGAGTCGAATCCGCCTTGGACATTCAGGAAAACTAGAATTGTGGGTCGCTTATGCGTATGGAGTTGTTCTAGCACCTGAGGAAGTTTGAAGACTTGGTCAACACAACCCCTACCATGCCAGTATCACGCTCGTGGCTCTCGAGTCAGTGCTTCATGCGAGATTCTTAGCACTATGAGAAGGGGTGGCTATCTCGTCCTAGTATGAGTCGCATCTGATGGGGGAGTATTTGGAAGAGACTCTAGGAGACGAGTCTCGCAAATTTGTCCAACGTCCAGATCTACCAGTCCCCCAGTTGCCAAGCGACTTGTCCGCATCTTATGCGGCCCAGGAAAACTTAGGGAGAAGCGACTCCGGACGAGTGAGTTGGGATCTGAGAGAAGCAAGCGGGATTCCAAAGGGGAAGGTGTTGCATGGATCACGTCTCCACATTTTCAGGTGGCACAGCAACTTGTATATGGTAGTCTTACAATCTTGGTATTCCTCGACTTAAAAAAAGTGCGTTCGATTCCGTCGACCGGTTGCTTTTCTCAACACGCTTGCACAATAACGTTCCTGAATAGCAAACATTGTTTGTATGTGGATACTTGTGAGCGAGTGAGTGCATGGTGAGCTCTCCAAAAGTTTTCCTGTAAGCATTGATGAAAGAAAACAAAATAAGCATTCACCGGTAGAACCCATCCAGTGTTTAGCTGCCACGCCAGGAGAGAACTGATACCCTCAGGTCGCCCAGGCCTGAACAGCAGCAGTAGAAATCATGCCTGAATTGGTATGGCCCTAAAAATTGGGAAGTAAAAGTACTATTATAATTACTGTTATAAATGCTTAGGTATAGTCTGAACGGCGGACCTCCACTGAGCTAACTCGAACCCACAACCAATGGTGCCCAAACAAAGATGTTCACTTTCGTCACGATGAGGCAAAAAAGCGAAAAATGGATGATCCCTGTGTTGTAGCTTGGTGAACGATGGTGTATTTCTGCATCGGTCCCTTGGTTTCCTGCTCCACCCACTATGACATATCAAAAGGCACGGTGGCACTATACAGCCCTTTGTGGAGACCAAAGGAGTGTAGCTTGGCGATGGTGTATTTCTGCATCGGTCCCTTGGTTTCCTGCTCCACCCACTATGACATATCAAAAGGCACGGTGGCACTATACATACAGTTGTGGAGACCAAAGGAGAATCATTACATCCGTATTTATGGGGTAATCACAGTGAACCACAAGGTCGCGCAAGGATCACCTTGAGGGGGCGAGGAGCGTCGAGTCAAGGTGCTTGGCTCGGATTGGCTGGAATTCTGACCAATCAGAGCATGCCTTCGTTTTCACGGCCCATGTCGCCCTAGGCTATTGGCACACCTAAAGTGAATTCGCCGAAGCTATAGAGTTTTCGAAGTTTCTATTTTAATGCCGAATTAGCCTAATCAATTTGCACCTTCCCGTGACATGTTGCGCGTAGCATTTTGTTTAAGTGAGCGAAATGTCAAGGTCATTTACCTTCGCCGATTTGCATTTTTTGTCGGTTTACGCGACATAAAACCCGAAATCGAACTTTCGCATATTTTGGCGTTCCTCTGTGTTCCTGAAGAATGAGATAACATCTTAGGAGTATTTGATGAAATAGGCCACCCTATTGGATCAGTCGTAGGCGTTTGTTTACTTTAGACGAACCTGCTCACAACACATTTTCTTCATGGATCTCATATTTCGTTAAGTGCAATAAAGTTAGATTATAGCACAAACTTGCAGTGTTTTGAGATAGCTGTGGGCGTCTTTCCTATTATAACTATGACATTCTACAGGTGGTGACCACCATAAAGCGGTCTCCACGATGACGGTGGCCGTTGTCACTCACCTCGACTACCTATTGTAGCTGATGGATCCTTGTCTGTGTGCAACGCTAATTACGGTCCCCCACATATGTGCGACAGCCCAATCCAATGAGCAACGACGGCCCGTTGTACTCGTATCTCTACTAGTTTTCACTCATCTGGACTACCTGTTGGAACTGCTAGGCCCGTGTTTATGTGCAACGTTGATAATGAAACTGCACCTATGCTCAGTAACATAATCCGATGGTCAGCCTCTTATACTCACAACTGTACTCGAAGTCACCTAACTTGGCTATTTATCTTCATACTCATACTTGCTTCATGCCGTTTACGTTTGCTACCTTCAGTAAACACCACAACTGTAGTCGACGTAACCTGCGTTGGCTACCTAAAGTAACTGCCAGGCCCGCGCACATGCCTGTAGCTAACCATACTGCCCCGGCAACACATATTAGACTAACCCAACGATCAACGGTTGTCATCACCTGTCAAACTTCAATCACCACCCATTTTGATAGCACCCACCCAACTCTTACTCCCTCGACCACTCCCTCCATTACCCGAAACAATGAGCTGTCGCTCACCTCGACTACCTGGCGTAACACCTATTCGCGACGCAGACTGTGAGGCCTCACCTACGCACGGCAACATAATACAATGGCCAACGACGACGCTCCATACTCATAACTCCACGCGCTGATAATGCGCCTGCCATGGATTTACGAAAAAGCCATTGGTGAATTGCATTTTATTCATTCGCATCACTAATACAGGCTTGATTGGTAGTCGCTCCATTTTTCATTTTCTTAAAATCCAACTCGCGGGACAAGGATCCTGAAACGGAAAATGGGCAAGTAATTAACCTTCGGAAACAGCATTTAAGCATCTGGATGTAATTGAATTTTATTGGTTTGCTTACCTAGTGGTTCATAATTCCCAGTACCGGGACGAGGGATAAATGCATAGTCGTTGCGGATTGTCATGGGT